GACACCTGAAACTGCTGCAGAGCAAAACCTTGGGGCTTGCCAGCACGTCTCTGCAGCCACAGAGAGAGCCAGCCAGGGTGTCCTCAGCTGGGTCCCAGAGACCACATGCTCTCACTGTAAGCTATAGATGACTTTGCATGGCTGCCTTGTGCTTTAGATTGAGGGGGGGAGAGAAAACCCCAGTCCCAAACCTCTTTGCTCTGCAATTTCCCCTACTTTTTCAAAGCATGGTGCTCCCCAGTTATGATATTCCACTTTCAGCCTTCTTTGGTGGAAACTCACACTGATCACTGAAGGGAGGACACTGATGGATTCCAGTTTTGTCAGAAACATGGAAAAGCCCCTGTCTCTTTACAGGGATTGAACCTCAAGGGGAAAATGCAGATTCATCCATACTCTGAGTACGAGGCTCTTCTGGTTGAATCAGGGGTCTTGGAGCCAAGTCTTCTCCTCCACCTCTGCTCTGAAGCTGTGTCTGTGGCTCTGGGCCAGCTCTTCCCCTGATGAAGGGCAGGGTGAACACAGCTTCCTTTGCACCAGGCCGGCTCTGCACTCTCATTCTTGATTCCCTCCTAAGTGGCAATAACCTCAATTTCTCCTCTCTGAATTAGAAGAGAATCCCTTTTAACTGAAAATTCATCCCAAATGGGGGACTTGCAAGACTCAGGGAGAGAAGCTGATGCTGGAGCAGTTGCTAATTAAATTGTATTTATTTCCAGAAGAACTAAATGAGTCAGTTCTGTCTCCTCAAACTGAGCAGAGCCCTGTCCTTACCCTCCTCCAGGTTACTCCATTGTAGCCAAAAGGCCCCAAAGCAAAGCTCTGGAAGCTTGAAACTGCAGAAATGTCAAGCTAAATTGGACGATAGAAAAGAAAAATTAAAAAATTAAATTATTTTCTATTGGAAAGGTTTTGCTGGAAAAACTGAAGTGAGGGAGATGCAAAGGGCTTGGCCTGGTATGGCCTTTCAAAAGTATCCTTCTTAGCTGGTTGCAAAATGGTCCCTTTCTGTCCTTCTGTGACTTCCTTGCCAGTTGGTTATGCCTAGAGGCATCTGAACTCTGCCCAAATATTTCCCTGAACATTTCTGGACTGGCAAAGGAAGGAAGGGGAGGAGGATTAGTGGTAATGGGCCACCCGAAGGTAGGAAGGGGTAAAGTTTATCCCATGGCCTCTGAAGACCACAGCAGCACCCTGCCCCGTGTAGGGTACAAGTCCTGAGTGGTGAAGGTTGAACATTGCCCCCCATGGCTCCCATGGTGCTGCACCAGCATCAAACCCCACGGCTGCAGCTGCTCAGGAGGAGCATGGGAACCTGAGGGACACTGCAGCATCCATGGGGACCGTGGTGGCATTTCTGAACTGACATTTACCTAAACTATTTATTTTTTAAAAAAAGGTTTTATAAATGAAAAAAAAAAAGCCCTCGACTAGCTTGTGCAAGGCAGTTTGGACAATGGTTTTTTTTTTCACTTCCTACAGAAAAATCTGTGGCTGGCTTTAGTTCAGTTTGTGCCAAACATGCACCAGTCTCAGATGCTTTCTGGCTTTCTCCATACAGCAGAAGTACCTCTGCACTATCAGTTTCCAGAGGTTCACATGCATCCCAAAAGCTGGAGGAATTGTAGGGGAAGGGCAGCACTGGACCATCCCGGTGCCTGCAGAGCACCTGCAGGGCTGGGGGAGAACTCTGTGAGAGGTGGGGAACAGAAGTTTTTACAGCATTTCCTGATGAGACCTTCGTGAGCTGTCGCACCGCTGCAGGGATGGGATGGCAGCTGAGCATGGGGGGAAAGCCCCTTTCCCCCAGCCGAGGGGGGAGCCTGGGCAGATGCTGCTGACTCTGCTCCACCGTGGGCAGTGGGACAGGCTCCTGGGGAGCCAAGGGAGGAGCTGAGCCATGGACAGAGCAGGGGGACTGGCATGGGCAAAAAGGGTGGAGGTGGAGGGTTCACTGCTGGGCGTTTGGGTGAGGTTGAGGAATGCCCTAATTACAGCACTGTTGTGGAAACTGGAAGTTCTCCACTGCCCTGTAGCCAAAGAAACAGGCTCTGCATCGGGATGAGACACAGGACACTGTTCCCAAGGGAAAAAAAAATCCCTCTCCTGATACTGGTCTAGCTCCTGAGCGGGTATAAACGGGTGTCTTCTGCTCATCTGCATCAGATGAAGATCTGGCCTCCCTGAGATCCTCAGGCAGGTGGAGGTCTGCCAGCAGAACCCTTCTGCAAAGCAGCTGGAAAGTCACCCCTGGGCAAAGCAGGTCCTTGAAGACAAGTGTGGTTTTGCACTAGAGCCTCGTCTGCACGCAGTGGAGACCTGTGGCACAGCTCCCTCAGCCAAGAGCACGCAGCTTTCCTCTCCTGGCTGTGCACCTGGGAGAACAGATATGATGACCTTGTGTGTAGACCAGATGTGGATAAATGTTAGGCTGGTTCCCCTGAGTGTCCCTTCCCTGCATGGAATCATGCCTCTGCCTAATTTCATCTCCTCCAGCTTTGCAGACCTTCAGCTTGGTCTGGGTTACGATTATGAGCTCAGGGCAGCTAAAATAGCTTTTGTGAAGCAGAATCTGGCCTCACAAAGTGACTGGCATTTACTGAAGGCATCAATGAACTTGTGGACAAGGGCAACCTGGTAGATAAGACTTTTCCTGGATTTAGAGAAGTCTTTTAGGTCAGCCACAGCTGAGAGGCAAAGTGCAAGCAGAGGTAAATAATCAAGTAGCAGATAGGAAATGATGGTGAGATAACAAACTGCTGATAATCCTTGTGTATTTGGCATAGCAGAGATGAAGACTGATGTTGGAGGTGTTCAGAAGGATCTTGCAGGGCTTTGGGGATAGAATGGCAAGGGATGTTTGGAAGAGTGTAAAGTGACACATAAAGGGAAAAATCCAACATGACTTCATACATAAGGTGGTGGGCTCTGGGCTGGCCACTACCTACTTGGGAGTGATAGCTTGGGATTATGGTGATCATGAAAAAAAGCAAGAAACATCAGGGAAAACATGAGCCAAATACTCCATGGCAGCAAAAATCTCGAACCATGAGAGATCAATGTTTTGTGTTGCCAAACAGCTCAGCAGAACCTCCCTCAAATTAAAGGAGAGGAGGAGCTTTTCCAGCAGTGGGGAAGAGACCTGGCAAACTCCTTGCTGCAGGATGGTTTTTTTTTTTTTTTTAATATTGTGTTTTCCTGCTTTTGAAGGAATCTGGGCAGGAGAAACGTGCCTGGGAGGAGAAACCCACTGAAGGGGTCTCAAAAACAGGGAACCACGTTCAGCTCAAAATGTCTCTGAGCTGAACATAAAGACTGGGGGACTGTCAGGCATGAGTGTCATCAAGGCTCATCTTCTGCCTAATCCCCAGTTGCTAAATACTTGTCTAGAATTTTTTTTAACCTAACAGTAAGAGAAATCATGATCTGTGAGGTTGGATATTCCTTTGCTGTGTAGATCCTAGCTGGGGGTGTTCCTCTACCAGGTTTGATCTAATCCTTGTTAAAACCCTGTTAAGTCCTAACGTTTCAGTGATATCCTTTGGCAATGAGTTTTGCAAGTGAAGTTCTCACTGTGCATTAATCAGAAAGTTTTATTGCTCTATATTAGCTTGCTGATGCTAGATTACTATATATAGTTTCTCAGTAATTAGCAGGATGCTTACAAGGTTATTTAAGTAAATTTTTCCTTATTCCACTACTTGCTGAACATTCTATATGTATGAAAACACTTGAAAGGCAAGTTGTCACTAAAAGAAGAAAGAAAAACAGAGCACGAGCCCTGCTCAGAGGGGACGGCTCATTTGAGAGGGCGATCTTGTAGAAATGGGGTTTTAATCAGGAACCTTTGATTAAAATAGTTCCTTTGGTTGCTCAGGTCCCAGCCACACCCCTGCGGGCTGGAGGCATGCGTGGCAAGCCCAGCCTCATAACCAGTCCCTAGTACTGGTGTAGGCATGGATCTCACTGCAGTCAACCACCAAATGGGTGCTCAGGGGGTGCTGGATGAGTTTTTTTGGAGGCACGCCGTGTGCCAGCTGCCCAGCTGCCCCAGCAGTGGGAGTGGGGAGGTCCTGGTCACACTGTGAGCTGGGGCTGGGCCCAGGTAAAAATCAGGCTTGGACCTGGTCTGCTGTGTCTGGCTGCCCCTGTCCCTCCAATATGACATTTCCCCCCTGGCCTTCACATCTGCCTTTTGGAGGAGAGTGTTGCCCTGTGTGAATGTGGGGGCCTGGGTCTCAGGACCAGCCCGGGGGGTACGACAGGTTTGATGGACTGGGTCCAGGCACAGGATGAGCCTGGTGTACAGGTCACCTCTGGCACAGGACTTAGCACCTGCAAATTGGACACCCTTGTGCTTTGAGACTTTGTGAGGTCTCTCTCCTGCAGCAAAGCTCATAACGAGGGGGAGGCTGTGATGGATCAGTCCAAGATGTCCAGAAAAGGCTGAGAGGGACACCCTCCCATCCTCTTTAGAAAGCCTGGACTGCACCCAGGCAGAGGTGTTTTAATGACTGTTTTGGATCCCTGCGAGCCAGCCTCCTCCCACTCTGCCCAAGGTAATTCACCTCCTCCACTGGTGTTGGAGGAGTTGTTGACTGGTGGAGAGCGGCTGGTAAAACAGGTTCTCTGCAGGGAGTTGTCTCCGAAACCCTGAGAGACCTGGATGGATCGAGCCCCGAGCGTGGGTCTCTGCTCCAGCCCTGGCCCAGCAGGCAGTGGAGAGAGATTTGCTTTTGTGTGGCACTCCTGGGCAGGGCATCTTTTGCACGGCGCTGCTAGTAGACAAATTACAGCCTTGCCTCTGTGAAGGTAGATAAGAAACCATGTGATTCAGCGTGGTGGTAAACGGGTTGCAGGCAGGGTAAAGGTGCACAGGGAAATAACCTTGCAGGGAGTTCCTGCCTCCTCGGGGAGCGGAGCCTGCAGGCAGCGCAGATCCCTGTGGTCCAACAGCACCTTGGCCTTCATGCCTGCAGAAGTTTTGGGGGCTCTTTTTAATGTCTTTCAGCAGAAGGAACTGGTCCGATCTCTCCAGGTAGGTGTTGTGGTTTAATGCTTAACCCTTTTCCACAGGCAGGAGAGAGGGGGTGAGGGTGGGCTGCTGGCACGGGGACCCTTGGCCAGGGGCTGTTGGGGAGGATGGGGAGAGGGGGCAGCTGCTGTAGGGGTGTTGCTTGCGGAGGTGGTGCCAGTCCCTTTGAGAGCTCAGCACTGCCGGGGCTTCTTGTGGGTGGGGAAGATCAGAGGCATTTTTCTTCCTGCTGCCTGGAGAAGCTGAGCGCTGGCTCTGGAAACGCATCCTTGCTCCATGGTGGATATATTTGTCAACTGGTTTGCCTTTCTTTGGGGTGCAGTCCAGCTGGGCTGTGCCTTCAGGCTTGCTCTGGAGCCGGCTGTGGGGTTTGTCACTTGTCCCGAGCAGCCCCTGGGTGCGTGTTCCAGCTCTGCTGGGTGGAGGTTGGAGCCTCTGCTCACCCAGCACTGACCGAGCCCTGATTCACCAGCAGCCGTCGAAGCTCCCGGCAGCCCTAAGGTGCTGGCCACTCCACGTGGCCTTCCCTAAAACATGGTTTTGACTCCAGTGGGGGCTGGGGCAGGAGAGGCTCCTGAGCACCATGGGGTGAGTCAGGGGCTCACACAAGACCTGGGTGGTGTGGGCATGGCTCCCGACCTCCCGCAGACCCCGGGCAGGCCCCCCTGAGCTCAGCTGTGCAGGCAAGGTGATGTGACTCAAACGCAGCCACACTCCCCCTCAACACAGAGCAGAACTCCAGTGTAAGTGGGTGTGATGGCTCCAGGACTCAGCTGCAAATCCCAGTGCTTTGGGTAAGACAGCCACCATGCCCAGAAATGGGGTTGAGAGCCCGTTGCTGGGAGGCTGCCAGCTCATGCCCTGCCTCCGTCACGGACGGGACAGATCCAGAGGATGTCTCAGCCCCATCCAGATCCACTTGCTCTGAGCCATGGGCCTGCCCAAGCTCAGGCCCAGTGGGGTCCTGCATCCAGGTTGTTTCACAACCCATGGAGGCAGTTCTTCCTCTCTCGTTAGATGAGACAGCGTTCACTGAAACAGCATAAATGTCAGATATCTCAGCACTAATGATTAACAGGGCAGGAGAGGACAAGGCAGAGGGAGACTCGCCCATGATTTTTCTTAATCTCTTTGAGGTTAAAAAAGGTAAGATAGTGAAAAAAAATTTCTCTTTGAGAAGAGGAGGAAAAGATTGGCAAAGCAAATCCATAGCTTAGTGGGTGGATTTCTTAATTACAAATAACAAGAAACTGCATGTTGGTAATGCTGGGCTACGTGCTGCCTCTGAAACAGCCAAGAAAACTCAAGGCAGGAAAATCTCATTTTCATTTTGAAGGAGCCTGTGCATGCACGAGCAAAGAAGTAGCTGATTCATACGTGGGTTTAAACTGACATGAGTGCTCCACGCTGTCACTGCTTGAGAGACAAGAGCACTGGGCAGTGCCACCCTTGCAGGGTGGGAACGCGAGTGTGCAGCCACTGCTGCATGGGGAGATTGCCCTGGGCAGGGAAATGAAGTCCTGCTGCCTGCTATGCACAAATATCCACAGGGTGAGGGCCAGGGAGGCGAGTACAGCTGCAAGGAGTGGAACTGGGAGGGGACCCCAATGGGGGATTGCTCACTGGAGATGCTCACAGGCTCCCTCGGCAGGTCTGAGCCTTCCCCAGCCCCCTCTCCCTGAGCATGGCACCAGGCGTGACCTGGAGCAGCATGGCAGGGGGTCCAGCTGTGCCCGGGGTGCGGAGGCTGCTCGGGGAGCTGAGGGCGGTGGGGAAGGAGGTGATGGAGGGGAAGGGCAGCACACCCCTAGCTGTCCTGTCCCCAGAGAGGTGCTGAGCTCTGCTGTGCCCCTCTTTGCTCTCCGTTCCGCTCTGCTGACCCTTTCGCATGCCCCCGCCTCCCTGCACCAGGAAGAACAGAAGCTGCAAATAGTCGTGGGGGGTAATGTGGTTTAATTTATGACCCAGCTCTCATTACACAGTAACTCGTAAAGCAGGCAGCAGTCACCGTGGCCGTGCCGGTGATCCCGCAGGCCCGGGCCTGCTCTGACTTCCATGGTCTTGAAAGTCAACTCAGAGTAAGCCCTGAGCCCGGATGGGTCTGGGGTGCCAGCTCCAGAGCTGGGACACTGTGGTTAGGTGGCTCCTGTGCAGGCAGGACTCTGTCCCACTGGGCTGTTGGGGGTGCTGGGAGCTCTGCTGGGACCCCTGCACGTGTTTGCAGCTGACTGAGGACTGGTGCTGTAGGTAGATGAGCACTGCTGTGAAAAGCTTCAGCCAGCCAATAAAAATATTTTCCGACACAGGTCACGCACTGGCAGCGAGGGTGGGCCAGCTCTGCACAGAGAAAGGGAGGGAAAGCTGTTGTTTTCCAAACAATGTTTTTATTCAGGGTGGCATTTTATTAAAAAATAAAATTTTATTAAAAAAAAATAAATTGTACATTTGGCTTGTGCAAAATCAAATCTTTAAAGAGTATTACAAACCTTTTAGGTACAGGCTGTGATTATAAACAATTCCCTATCCTAACCACATGCAGGGAGTAAGAGGAGCTCCTGCCATCCCTGTTTCCAGGGCAGAGCTTGTCAGGAGTTGCCTTTAGCCTCTGATGTTTTTGCATTTGAGGCTTTTTGCTCAATGAAAATTAAAATGCCATTGCCACAACTTGCACTGGGGCTAAAATCTTCTGCCACTAGTGGTTACCCTTCCAGCTTACGTGGTTGAGATCTATGTGGTGGCTCTAGAGTCCTGGTCTTGCTGAGTTACAGGTGAAATACCCTTGCCTGGGAAGGTTTGCTTAATGTGAGGATTCCTTTTAAATGAGCGTTCCCTCCAACAGAAGAAATTAGGAGTTGTAAAGTCAAGCATTTGTGTTGGGAAATTCCTACGTCAGCTGGGTGAAGCAAGAGCACTTTGTGACACCCAGCTCGCGTGGGCATCCCTCTCCTCCAGCCCCGTGCAACTGCTGGGGAAGGCAACCTCTGTCAGCCCCTTGGGCCTTGCCCAGGGGTGTTTCAGTCTCCTTTCCTGTCTGACATCAGGGCCTCACCATGTCCTTACGTGTCATCCCAAACAGCCTGGCCAGGCAGAGGACCCTTGAGGATGAAGAAGAACAGCAAAGAGAGCGCCGGCGAAGGCATCGGAACCTGCTGTCCTCCACATCCATGGATGAAGAACCTCCTAGCTCTGTGAAAGACACCAGTCCAGCCCCCAGAAGGTATGTAGAGTCCTGCTGGCATCAGTCTTACACGTGATTCTCATGGCTCACAGCTTGCTGCCTTGTTTCCCTCAGCTCTAAGCCAAAGCTGCCCCCATTGGTGGGAGTCTCTTTTGGATGGGGGTGGGCTGAGCTGTGGAGCAAGGCCCCAGTGGGCCTTTGGGCAGGAGGATGGACTTCACAGGAGGAGTGCAAGGAGAGGGTACATGTCTGGTGGGCTCGGTCATGTGCCACAGTATGTCCCATGGCACAGGGAGGTGGTGTGCCATGGTGAGGGCTGGTGCTGAGGCTGAGCTCAGGTGGGTGAGCCATGTCCTAGAGGGATCGGGGATCTTAAGCAGGTAAGAGCAGACACACACCCATCTGTGCAGGGGCAAGTGGGCAGAGCATGCAGAGCCTGGCTGGCTGTCCTCCTCCTCCTCTGAACCTTGCACTGATGTAGTATGATCTGTGCTGAAGTGAGGAGGTGACCCAAGGCCTTTCCAGTGGCACTCCCAAGGTCCCTTGCTACAGGGAGCTGGGGTTTGGAGGTGCCTTGGAAGCAGTCCACCCTTACACAACCTGACCCACTCTCTAAACTGATCCTGGAAAAGTCCAGTATTTAGATGGGTTTTGTCCACAGCGAGACTCGTGCTCTAGAGGTGTTTCCCTCTGGCTCTAGGATGTTAGTGGGATTTTTATGCTCCCCCAGAGCCTTTCACCTGGGTTAACCTCACCTGCAGCATAAAAGCCATCCCTCTGGCCTCAGGGTGCTGAGATTTGATGGTCATTTTGTCTCTGTGTCTAGACCTCAGTCCCTGGTGAAGCCGGTGTCTCTGGAGGATGGGAAAGAGCGTAAGGTCTCGGAGGTGCTGAAGACACAAGAAGAGAGATGGAGGAGGTCCCCGATGGCCGTGTCTGAAAAGCTGAGGCAAGAGAAGGAGCAGCAGGAGCCAGGGGTGGGAGCAAGCCATGCAGAGGCAGGGACACAGCCACATGTGGGGCAGGAAATTGTCCAGTCTGGAGAGCAGGGTCAGGATGTGACCAAGAGCAGAGGGGACCCACCACAAGACCAGCTTCTGGACCCAGCTTTGGAGAGGAAGGTGGTGGTGAGAGGTCGGCTGCGGGACAAAGAGGGACAAGGTACAGGGATGCCTCAGGGGGAGCAGAGGAAGGAGGTGGGAGAGGCACAGCAGCGGACGTCGCCAGAGGTGGGGGGCTGCCGCCTCCGCGAGGTGAAGATCTTGACCAGGCAGGGAAGTCGCAGCATGGAGGAGAAGACGGCCTCAGTGGTGACCTCATCTCTGGACCACCAGGTGAGCGGGAATGAGCAAGGCGCCAGCCCTTGGTGTGCAAGGTCCTGGGTGCTGGGAGAGCAACAGAGAGAGGGAGAGCCCCAAAGTATCAGGAGGGAAATGGGACCCATGGGTTTTTGGAGAAGGTTTTTCTGAGACCTGCAAACCATGAGGTGGTGGACAGGGTCCCATCACCTTCTTTCCTCCCTTCCATGTACTGTTCTGATCACCTTTTCTTGTAAGCCTCTACTGATTGCCATCACAGTTTCACTGAAGAGGTGTCTGGGGCTTTGTGTATCTGAGACAGACAAGACAAGGTTTGGAGGACTTCAGTCTCAAAGTCTGGCCTATGAATTCTTTCTTATCCTGGCTCCTCTGCTCCCTGCACCTCAGTCTTCCCTGAAGCCTGTGCAGAGATACATCAGATGTTTGCTTTTTCCTCAGCAACCATCAAGGAATCCCTCAAAGGCAGTAATACATCTGTCTCCCACCCAAGATGAACCTGCAGAAAAGTCAAATCCTTCTCCAACTCATGTCACCTCCATCAGACGAACCAGCCCAAGAACTGTGTCCTTTCGGGTAAGAGCTAAACCAAGTGGGAGAACCCTTTAGGACTGGAGGATGGGGGGAAGGAAGGGTAGCTTTGATCTCTGGGTTACGTTGGCGCAGCCTGTTGCTAAAAGTGCTTTCAAAATTCACCCTTGAGTTGATCATTACAGTTCTGCTCCAGCCTTTCCTCCATTTTTGTTCTCTGTGTCTGATCGAAGGCCTGTAACGGGCAGGCCCATGTTCCTACACCTTGTGCTGGCATGGGAACCTGTGGGAAGCTAGGAGAAAAGAGGGAGCTCATTGTCCTCAGATTTTCCAAAGAGTCACAGGAATGACTAGTCTTGTCTGAGAGCACAGGATAAAAAGAAAACCCACCCGTCTTCTTGTCCCTCGTTACATCCCTAAGGATATCTTAAATTCTGGGTCCCAACCTCCCCCCAAGATACTTGGAAGAAGGTGGCTGGAGAGGCTGGGAAAACCAAGAGCTGTTGAGATCGACCCTGCTGTGAATCAGGGCTGACTCGCCAGGCTTGACTGACTTTCATGGTGCTTTGTTTGGAATAAAACTGTTAGCACTACAAAGTGTCTTTATTCTGGGGAGCTTTGAGATAAGCTCTGTTGTGGGTGAAGATGGTGCTTGTTTGAAAATGGGGGAGACAAGATCTGAGATGATACTGAGGGTGGCTTCAGTATCTCCTCTCCTTGTGTCTTCCAGATGATCTCAAGAAAAGAGAAAGAAGAAAGCCAAAGCCCTCTCACAAGAAGGTCAGCACCTCTCTTCATGTTACTTTGGTCTTCCTGGGCAAGAATAGCCATCCTTTGTCTTCCAAGGGAGGAGGAGGAGGTGGTGGGACCTGGTACCAGCTAGTGAGTGCCCTGGCACTGGTCTGATGAACATTGGTCCCCTGGGGTGCCCGGCAGCGATGCTTAGCAGAGGACAGGACAATGTCCAATGTACAGTTTGCAGCTGTACAGGACCCCCCAGGCAGCCATGGCTGTCTCTTGCCTGGTGTAGTTTCTCATTGGTGCCTGGGTCTGCACAGGAGTGGTTAAGTGTTGAGCAGTGCTGCACAGCAACAAGGTCCTATCCTTGGAGATATCAAACCCCACTATATGGGTCCATGAGCAACCTGATCTGGCTCTGGTGGCCAGATGAAGTGATCCTCCACATGTCCATGGCAAGGTGGGGACAGGTGGCTCAAAAACTCTTGAAGAACCAAGGGCTCAGGTCTGAGTGCCAGGAATCAACAGGATGTCCTCTCCCAGCTCTGAATGCAGGGTGAGGGAGTGGGGACTTACAGGCACCTGGTCTTGCACCTATGCATGCTATAGACAAACCCATACTGATATTGGGGAAGATGCATTCCAGAGGTGGCAGTGGTGAAGACAGGGTAAACTGAGGGCCTTGGAGTTAATTTTCGGTGTATAGTGTGGCCCTAACGAGATGGTGAGACCCAGAGGTCTCGGTCGCCAGCAGGGGATAAGCTGCCTTGGTTCACTTGGATGCAGGAGTGCCTGGGTCAGACAAGGGCTCCTGCCAAGGGGAGTCCCTCAGGTCCGTGGGGTGAGTTCCAGGAGATCCCAAGGGAGCCGTGGTCAACTCTCTCCCCTTTTCTTCACCAGCGCGAGTCTGAGGATCCCGGGCAGCAGCACCACCATTGGGGAGAAGCTGGAAAAGTACACGTCAGCCGTGCAGGTACCAAAGGCCCTGGCACAGCCAGGCTGGCATGGGAACCGTGCGTGGGGAGAGGGAGAGGGGTGGCCTGGAGCTGAGCAAGGAGGAGAGAGAGGGACTGAGCTGCACCAAACAAACAGTGCTAATGGAGTTGAAGGAGATGGACACAGGCAGAAAAAGGGATCAGCCTCAGGGCTTTGGGAGCAGGAAGGAGATATCCCTTGGGAGGTGTCATGGGGGTGCTGCATGGCCCTGCTGGGGGAGGCAGTGGGGCAGTGCCCTGAGAAGGTGATGGTGAGGGAGGGAGCAGACCCCAACACGCTCAGGATGTGAGTTGGAAGCAGGACTTTGCTTTTCACCCCTTGGAGTGCAGCGTGGGCCCTGCTGACACCCCTCTCTCCTCCCAGCGCTCGGAGGCGGTGAAATCGTCCCCAGCTGTTCAGAAGAGCCTCGTGCTGTCCTCGGAGGGGGTGGCCAGCAAACGCCACTTCTTCGAGGCAAGCACTCCCAGCAAGCCTGAGCCGCTCGCCGTCAGGAAGGTAAGGAGCAAGGACCTTCCACCAGGGTCCTGTGCCAGGGCAGGCACCAGCTTTTTGGACGAACCTTCCCCTGTCTGGACACGGGGTGGAGCCCGGCAGGCTGCTGCCCGGGGGCACTGGGTAGGAGTTCAGTGCCTGCTGAGTGGTGCTCAGGCACCGGCTGCTCCAAAGCTGGGCTCTGGCGGTGTCTGTGTTCGTGCTGATGTGCTGGTATTGGAGGAGCTGGGATGGAGCCAAGGTGTAGGCTGGTCTCTACGTGTTGCAGGGTTGCTCAGTCTCCCCGTGCCCTGGGGACTGTCCTGTGTTATGTTTGTGCAGTGGGAGGGCTGGTGCTGTAACCCTGGTGTCCCTCTGTGCCACAGGACAACCTGAAGATCCCGGGATCGGTGACGTCCCGCATTAATCTGTGGATCAGCCGAAGTCAGGAGCCTGCCCAGGAGGAAAGGAGCAAGGTATTGGCTTGTGCCAGCACCTCGGACTAGAGCCCTGAGACCAGGCAGCCTGGTGGGATGCACCCTTGAATCTGGTGTGGTGAGCTTTGGAGGGCTGATGAGCCCTTGGCTGAACCCATTAAAGGGTTTGAGAGGAGCTTCACCAGGTTTGGAGGTTTGGGTGCTGCAGGCCCCTCATGGAGAGCTGTCAGGGCTCTTGCAGGGCTCAGGGATGTTGCTGTGCTGTGATCTTGATCCCAAAGTGCACAAGGCAGCTGCTCCCAGCCCTTGGTGGGGTGAGGAGAGAGGAGGCACAAGCTGCGTCTGTGTCCCAGGGGACACGCAGGGAATCTGACCCTGCCCAGTGAGAGATCACCCCAGCCACAGTCCCACCTCTGCCAGTGTCTGGAGGACGAGGTCTAACCTGGAGGCCACTGGGAGATGAGCCATATGCTCAGTTGTTTGACACTGGTCTCTGCAGGATTTGGAGAACCGTGTGTACACCAAGATGTCCTGCTGCATGTGGGGTCTGGAGCGATCTGCAACCCCTGAGTGTACCCCAGCCCCCAAAAGCAGGGTGTCTTGTAGCTGTGTGGCCAAAGTGCCCAGCTAAGGTGCCTTGGGGCTCAGCACTTTGCCACTGCAGCTGCTCCAGGGTGTGGATGTGAGGGCGATGGGCAGGAAACCCTTTGGCCTCAGAGCAGCTCTCTGCACTAGGAGAGGAGAGGTTCAGCGTGTCCCGGGCACGTATCACAGTTCTCAGCAAGAAGGGATTTTGCCACTGCTCACAGCTGAGTCTCCTGCAGCCACCTGGGTACAGGCCCAGGAGGGGCAGCTCCAGCCCAGCCCTGCAGCCCAGGCAGGCAAGCCCAGGCACCCCCAGCTCCGAGCTGCGGAGATCAGCACTGCCCAGACGTGTCTGGAAGCTGTGCTGGCTGGGACTGCCAGGGAAGGGTTTGCTCCTGGGGCCCCTCCTGGGTAAAGCTTGCAGCTTCTTTACTGGGTTTTCCTATCATGCCTGCTGCCATCCAACTCTGTGAGCTGGAGCTGCATTTGGTTTTGAGGGTCTGCCAGATGCAGGATCTCAGAGCTGATTGGTTTTACCTGGAGCACAGGCACTTTGAGGTTTGGGGCAACACCGTACATGATTTATGGGAAAAACCTTCTTGTGCCCCTTACAACTCTCCTGTTTTCAGGACACCAAGAAAATAAACAGCCTGCCAAAGCGTGATGTCTGGGTGAAGCAGCCTGGAGACACCCCTGGAGACACCAAGGTAGACATGGAACTGCTTTGAAAACTGGTGTATCTTCTGATCTGGGACCTGCCCACCAGTGCATTGCCCACAGGGCAGGTGTGGGAGAACTAGACTGTGGTGGGGAGGGGGACATCCAGGAGCCCTTTCCTTGGGGGAGTCAGCAGGAGGGGGCAACTGGAGGCAGCTGTGAAGATGAGAAGGGGTCTGGTCTGGGAGAGGAATGGAAGGGAAGTGGTTCATGGTGGGATCTAGGATTAACAGCCTACCCCTTCCACTGCTGGGGACAAGTATAGTCCTGGGTAAAGCAGCTGCCTTTGGGGTTTGCAGCCTTAGGCCTGGCCTCACTGTTTCTCAATTTCCTTTCCAGTTGTAATAAATCAGTTATATTAATATCAGATGATCTTGGAAAAACTGTTTTGCTCTGAAGATCAAAGCTCAGCCCTACCCAACCACCCAGAAGCCCACTGCCACGAGAGTCTCCTGTGCCATGTGTAGGTGCACCCCAGGTGGTTGGGGTCTTCTGCTTGTGTGATGGGAAGGAAGAAGGCTGGAAGATTATCCCTGTGCCCCCAGTCTTCACTCACTGCCTGCCCAGGAGCGCCCAGGGCTGGATGCTCCTTGCAAACACTGAGGACAGACTCCTGCCTTGTTTTCCCCAAATGTTTTGAAGGTTTGCTCCTAATCTCTGGCTGTGCCCCATAACCGCTTGCAGAGAGAATCAGCTGCTGTGTGTCCTTTGCAGCTGGACCACATCAGTGGGGCAGGAAGTTGCCTGGCCAAGAGAGATTCAGCTTCATGTCCATGGTCCATGTCCATCCTTGCTGCCTGGCTTGTGTGGGGTGAGGTGGGACAGGTAGATCTCACCCTCCTCCTGGACTGTCACTGCTGGAGGGACCCAACCAAAGGCAAACCGGTGTTTGGGAAGTCATACGTGTGCCGGTGTAGCTTGAGGATGCCTCATGGAAGAAGGGTGGACCTGGTGGCCCTGGTGCTTCCCTCCAGCATGCAGCTGCACCAGAGCTTGGCCTGCTCCACCCTGCCCATACTGTCCCCTGCCCACTACAAGCAGCCACCCCTTTCACTTAGTGACACGGGAAGGATGGGCTGTGCTCAGCCCTGGGTTTGGGGCTGTATGGAGCTGAGCGCCCTGTGCTGGAACCCTTCTGCAAACCCCACTTCCCTCCCCATGGCCATGGAGACCCCTGGCCCTGCTGGGCCTGCCCGTCAGGGAAGCAGGGTGCTCTCCTGAGGCTGGCTTTAGGGTGTCATGGGCATAAAATGATGCTCAAATCTTGTGCTGGAGCCATTCAGTGGGCTGAGGGTATGCCTTGAGCAACCCCTGAGGTGTCCAGATTCGGTGTGGGACTCTGCTGCTGCCCTTGGATCTGATCTTGCTCGCTGGGCCTTGGAAAGGACTTTGTTTTCTCTGTGCTTTTTTTTTTTTTTTTTTTTCCCCCCAATAAAGTTATTATTTCTAAGATGCTCCTGGTCACCTGCTCCTGGGCTGGGAACGGCTCTCTTCCCTTCTTCTGACAAAAGGAAAAAATGTAAATATCCAAGACAGATGTGTCCTGGGGGCTGGGGCAAAAGCATCCTGAGACTCTTCCCTTCTCCCTTCAGCCTCTTGGACCTGGTGCAGTATCTGAGCAAGCCTGGGTCGGGGCTGCTCCTCCACTCGAGGCAGCGCTGCCTTATCAGCGTCCCTGGCCCTAGAAAGTGACAGCTGGCTGGCTTGTGTCAGCCCCTTGGGCACTCACGTATCTCAGTCCGTAGGGTTTAAAATAGCAAATCTCTGAGGCCACACAATAGCTTGGGCTTATATGGGCTCCTGGGGGGAAGGGGGAGCGGTGGAGGGGGCCAGGGCCCAGGCTGCCGAAATAGCAGCTCACAAGTGTTGCATTCCTCACTGGGCGCCGGGCACATTCCTCCTGGTGCTGCCCGCCCCGGGGTGGGCGCTGGAGCCCCCTTAAAGCCTCCTGCCCCCCAGGAGCATTTCTCAGACACCCACCAGCTTCCCCTTGGCTTCCTGGGATCTCACCAGTGCCCCACAGCAGAGGTAAGGCTGGGGCAGTGGGGTGCCCACTCGTGGCATAGGATGCTCAGTGGAAGGACAGTTGGTACAGACCCAGGAGCGACTTCGGTCCTCCCCAGCCACCTGCACTGGGAGGTGTTTTTGCCATGCAGGTAATACCTGCCATGAGGTGTTTTGCCAATGGATAAAGCATCAGGATCCTCTCCGGGGCACTGTATTTTGCAGCTTACCCAGTGCCTTTTGAACCACTCTAATGTGTGCCAAGGTGGATGAGAAGGATTTTGGCTGCCCTGATTCCAGGGCAGTCTCACAGATCCCTATTCCCTGTGTCTGGAGGGGCCAGGAGGGGTGTGATGCCCATGGGAGGGTTGGGCCAGCCTGCCCCTGGCTCACTGGCAGCCCAGAGAATGGGTCAGAGGTGGGATCCTGCTGTGCACGGTCAGACTCTGCCGAGCAGAACATGACCTGTGCTGGAAGGAAGTGCTGGGGAATGAGCGCTCCATGTCTGGGCTGCCTGGAGGAAAGCAGGGACTGAGAACCATGGAGGATTAACTCGGCCCCAGAGGTGTGACCAGCCAGCCTTGAGCTAGTGGAGAGGGGGATTTTAAGGGATGAGAGAGATATCTGCAGTATTTAGTCCACAGCAAATGATGGGATATTATTTTTCAGTTAATAATATGTGCAATGTTTCCCCTTTAAGACTGTAATACATCTGCTGGGTTCTCCTAGTTGCTTCAAAACAATTTCAATGCTTTAATCTTATCTGTTTCTGTGCAGAGGATGGAAAAAAAATGTTTCCTAGAGCCACTTTCTGGTGTAACATTAGTTTTTCTTGTGTACTGTCTTAACAGTCCTGTTTTTGTTGCTGTTCCTCAGCAAATGCTCTGTGATCTAGTGATGTGTGAGAGGTGAAAAGAAATCTAGAAATAAGCTTTCACAAACACATTTGCACCCTTGTGTCCAGGAGGGAGCCTCTGCCTTTGTGTCGTCAAAAGACCATGTGAAGTATTGGGCACTCAGATGCTGCATAAATGATTTGGCCAAACTCCAGGGGTAGCAGGACCATGCAGAGCCTGGGGGAAAGCAGGGCCAGGAACTGAGGTTCAACAGGGATTGGAGATTGAGGGGATGGTGCTGCCAGGCTGTGCTTAGGGCCAGCTCCCAGATGCGTTAGAGGGAAGGGAATGGTGATGCCAGAAGCAGGCAGTGAATCTGAGGCAGATGGAGCTGAGTTCTGACTTCATTTGTCTCCAAAAAGCACCTTCTGAGTCATTGCCCAGAAGGGAGATCTGACACCCCCTCTGGAGCCGCAGACCTGCGGGGGCTCCCCTCCTGTAACGCGCCTTTCCCATGCTTGCAGATTCCAGTCCTGGACTCAGCATCTCCAATAAGCAATCCCATAGCCTGTTGGACCTATCCTGGGTAATAAATGTCCAACAGATGTAGCCAGGACCAGTTGTTCCCAGGCACCCAGCAGGAGCAGGAGTGAAGTGGTGAAGTGGCGCTGCTCTGGGAACAGGTGGATTAGCACATGGAAGTTATTTCTAGAGCTGCCTTGCATTGCTGTGCCACATCTCAGCTCTGCTGGGGTCTGGCAGGGACACGAGTGGTGGACAGGCTGTGCAGGGGCTCGGGCTGATGCTCAGGGATGCCCAGAGCTGGGGCTGATCATGGGCCTGATCTGTGCAGACCTGCTGGTGGAGCACTGGGTAGAAGCTAAGTGAGGTGGGGTGATGAGGGAAGCCCTTCTGGCCGTGGCTGGGAGGGAGATGGGTGTGCTGGGAATGGCCACTTCTCTGTGTTACTAGCCCTGCTCTTAAACCAGGCTGTGAATCATGCCTTTTTGGTAAGCTCAATCTCAGGGCCAGGAGCAGGAGACAAAAGCTCCTGCTGAGCACAGATGGCCCCTTTCCAGAGCACACTCTGCGCTTGGAGAGCGGGGCTGGGAGGTCTCACTGAGACCTTGTGCTGTGGCTTGTGCAGGACTGTGCATCTGAGATAACGGGATGTCCCTGCAAGGTCCATATCCCAACCGAGCTAAGAATAGTCAGGAAGCAAAACAAGCTGAACGTTCTAACTGGGTTATTTTCCCATGCCCTGAGCAAACAGCACGCTGGGCTGGTTTCAGTGCGGGAGCTGCACGTCCTGGACGTGGCTCCTGTCAGCAGTTAACAGTGTTGCACAAAGCTGGGTCTAATCTCCTGCCTCCTATTTGGGGCAAGCTGTGATGCTGGGACGGGAGGGGAGGGGGAGCCTTATCTCTGCTGAGATAATGCTGTGACAGCCTGGCTGGGGACAGCTCGAAGCACCAAGCGCTTTGGAGAGATGCAACTGCTGTGTGCCCATGTCTCAGGACAGGCTGTGCTTGTCCTTACCTCAGCCCCTAACCCTTGCTTTTCCCCATCTGCCTTGAATTCTGCTAGATAACCAAGTATGTCGGACACTGAAGAGGTTGTCGAAGAATACGAGCAGTAAGTGGTGTGTTTTTATCACCCTTTCTTTCTTCTCTTTCCTGCCTTCCCACAGGCCACAGCATTGCTTGGGGGTGCTCTTTGGGGGGCTCAGTGGCTCTTGCCATTACCCCAGCACGCAGCCTGAAAGGGCCTTGGGGTTCCCCCACCCTGTGCCCTGCTGTGATAGTGCCGAGACCCCCAGCAGGGGGGTGTTTGTGTGAGGAGCTGCATCAGCACATACATGGCAAGGGACAGGCCCTGCATCAAAACTGCTGCAGTTCAAATCAGTGAGGCAGAGCTGGGAAAAGCTGATGTCATTGGTCTGCTGCTGCTGGGACCCTACTGCCACATCCAGAGCATCCCTTCCCAAGGCCCACATCTGAGGGCAACTTTTGCTGGTGAGGGCTGTTGGACCACAGGGTGCACCCTGGAGAAAAGAGGCTCAATATCTGAGCTATGTGGTTATAGGGGTCAGCCCAAACATGGTTCCTACTTCTCATTCAGCAGTAGAAAATGTAGATCTGAACCCTTCCCTCACGTTTAATTGCCACGAC